GGCGCCGAGCCGTTTCGTGTGTTCTTAATGTGATTTCACTGAATGCCTTCTGTTCACCTGTTTTATTCTAAGGAAGTCACCTTAGCAAATGAGAAGTCAGTATTTTGCCCAAATAGTTCACTGCTTTGGAACAAATTCATGTTTTCAAAACAAGCATTATAGCTTAACTACTTAACCACTTTTGAATCATCTGACTGTAAACTGAAGACCTAAACTTTGTAAGTATTCAATGAGGACATTTTCATGGAAGAACAGTTTTGTAATGAGTTAATACCCTATCTGTATTCAGATTTTTCTAACTGTCCTCAGAATGTGTTTCTTGCCTTGTGTTTTAAACCAAGATCCATTTGGTTTTTACACATTACATTTAGTTGTCTTACCAGTTTCTAATCTACATTCACCCTTAATGTTTTTTTTTTTTTTGGTCACCGATTTTTTTTTTATTTTTTAAGAATCCAAGCCTATTATCTATCTCTCCTTCTGGATTTCATCTTAATTTAACTTGTTTATCTGTTTCCTATAAAATCAAAAATTTGCTCTGAAGAGGCTCAGATTCAGGTTACAAACTTTTGGCAAGAATACTTCATAGCTGATGATGTATGTGTTGTAGCACATCTGCCTTAAGTTTCTCCAGAGAAACTAAATAGAGTATAGATAATTATTTCTAGAAAGAATTGAGTCATAGCTCACGCAATTATTGAGGCCAAGAACTCTTATAATCTGCCATCTGCAAACTGAGGACCTAGAAATGGTGTAGTTCAAAGGCCTAAAAATCAGATAGCCAAAAGTGTAGATTCTAGTCCAGTCTGAAGGAGTTCAGAGGGTGAGAGGTGTGTGTCCCAGCTTGGTTTGGTAAGAAAGGCTTTTAGCTCTAAACTAATGAATTCAACTTTGCCTCTGCCTTTTTCTCTTCAGACTGAACAGGTTTGGTGATACCCATCAACCTTGTGGTGGGGGTTGCTATTTGCTATGTTTAGTCTACCAATTCAAATGTCTCTTCCAGAAACACCCTGAGATGCTTCCCCAATGAATTTATTTATTTATTTATTTTTTGAGACAGAGTCTGATGATGTTGTCCTGGGTAGAGTGTCATGGCATCACAGCTCACAACAACCTCAAACTCTTGGGCTTAAGTGATTCTCTTGCCTCAAACTCCCAAGCAGCTGAGACTACAGGGGTCCACCACAACACCTGGCTAATGTAAGAGATGAGGTCTCACTCTGGCTCAGGTTGGTCTCAAACCTGTGAGCTCAGGCAATCCACTGGCCTCGGCCTCCCAGGGTGCTAAGATTTACAGGTGTGAGCCACGGCACCTGACCCCTTCCTGGATTTATTATGTGTTCTTTTCTAGCATTTTATTTCATATACAGACATGGTTGTTCATATGTGTGGTTATTACTTGGTGCCTAAACCTCACACGTCTGCACCTTATCCAGCACACGCACACACAAGCACTCATACACACTTCGGTACTCTGTTCCCTATCCCCACAGCTCAGGTTTGAGCTTTTGGGTATGAAGAGCAATAAGTACACTAGTCCATGGGCCCCTATGCAGAGCCTGCGTGGCATCCTTTGTGACAGAAGTCAGATCATCCAGCTCACGCGTGGGCTACTTTGATGTACCGCTTCCCCTCTTGCTGATAGCAGTCTTATGTCCTATCTTTAGGTTCTCAGGCAGTGCATACCTTCCTTACTCTGTGCTTTCATTTGTGCCTTTGGTTTTTTTGGTTTTCTTTCTTTTTTTTTTTTTTTTTGACATAAAAGTAGAGCAGTGCAATCGTACCTGAGACCGTGAACTCCTGGGCTCAAGTGATCGTCCTGCTTCAGCCTCCCAAGTAGCTGAGCCTACAGGTGCATACTTTATGTTTTGCCCAGAGTTGTATCAAACTCCTGGGCTAAATTGAGCCTCCTACCTCACCCTTCCAAAGTGTGAAGATTACAGGTGTGAGCCACTGTATCTGGTCAAATTGGACCTTTAAACTTAGGAAACTAAAGTGTTAATGAAGAATAAGCTGCTGTAAAATGTCTGCAGCCTTTATGTTATGAATAGCAGAAAAAATTAAGGAACAATCTTCCAGTATTAGAAAAGTATGAGTCATGCCCTATAATCCTTTATGTCTATACATTTTTAAGTTTAGTCACACAATTTATCCCTAGAGAGCCAGTGGCTAACCATTTACCAGCACATCACTGGTTGACAGCCTCCAGCAACAGAACCTTTAGGATCCTTCCAGTGTTCCATCTGAGAACATTCTCCAGGGAACTCTAGCCAATGACTGAGATGGCAAGGCCAGAACTGTCTAGCCATTTCTGTTTATGATAGAACTCTAGAGCAATCTTTGTGCTGCAAATTTGTAGTGCTTCAGTATATGACCCTTTCTTGATTTGGGCCGCTGTGCTTACACCAAATCCCAAGAGGCACACGCAGCCCCAGAAATAGTTGCATGTGACGGAAAGTTGCTCCCCTGGTCACTTAGCTGTCTATACCTCATGGGCTTCCAGTTCTGGCTTCTACTCAGCCCCGCCAACCCCATGTCCCAATATGCGAAGCAAATGCTTAGCCATATCAAAGCATCCTGAAGCAAGTGGGGCAGTGGGGGATTTTGGAGGTGCTCACACTCCAGACAAGCGAACAAGGAAGGTTTGGGAAGAAGGGCTTTTAGCTCTAAACTAAGATTTTAGATGATGCGTGCCACATACAGGGCTGGAGCCAGGAAGAGGTTAAAAGAAGGGGGTAGGGAGAGGAGAGCGCTAAGCTAGGCCTCAGGAAGAAGCAGCTTAGGTAGCGGACACCGAGTTGGCACCACGTCCTCTGCTTTGTGTGTCGTCACAGCCACGCGGTGCAGGAGTAAGGCGCCATTTGAAGCACCTAAATCCCGGGTAGGAAGAGATGATGGGGGTTAGTTAAGGATGGGTGTGTCCGTGGTCACTGTTGTGTCCTGTCGCTCCCATGCTGATGAACCCAACCTAACACCGAGTTCACACTACCGGCATGGTCACTAGTGGAAGTTAACTTCCGTTAATAAAAACGTGCTCTTCACAAACGAGTTTCATTAATATAATGTGAGAAGTCGGCGTTTAGGGTTCTAGACGCAAAGGAGGAGAATAGGTGCCCCACCATTTTAAACCAGCGACTGTCGACTCCCACGATCTAGTAAGCACCCGACTAGAGTCTCGGCCGGCGTGCGAGGATATTTGGTTCCTCGCGGCCCCTGTAGCGTCGCTAGTTACCGCGCCCCTAGCAACCGCCCTTTCCTCGGAAGGAGCTGCGAGGTCGCCAGAGGCCGCACCAGCTTACCCGCCTCAGGCCGGCGCGGGCGCTGAGGCCTCGGAGGCGGGGTAATGGCTGCTTTGCACCAAGCAGCGAAGCTGGCGGCTTCCAATTTCCACATGCCGGTCAATCCCAACATCGGAGCGCGGGTCTCCCTGTACGAACCCATAGACCCTTTACAGGCCTTGGCGGCGGCGGTGGACTCCTTGGAGGAGGAAGAAAAGGAAAATGGGGTAGAGTCGGCTGGGATGTCGGTGATGCCGGGGTGGGACGTGGGCTGGGACCTGGCGCGGTCTGGGTGCGCGCTAAGGGCAGCTTGGGAGACGTGGTGCCCTGTGCAGATACTCGGCGGTTGGGTGTCCCTGGCTCACCACCTCTCTGCTTCCATGGGAAATAGTAAAAATGGACGTTGAAAAGTATTTTAACTTCTACCAAAGGAATTTTTGTAAAATTTTCTTACACAATATTTATATTACTCTTTCTAGAGCGTGCAAAGTAAAGAATTTTACTCCCTCCTCTCCAGCATCTTTTGGTTATGGGTATTTGTTTTCTTTTTTCTTTGGGAATTCATCGGGATTCATTGACGGTACAACAAACCAGGTTACACTGATCGTGTTTGTTAGATAAAGTTCCTCTTAACAATCGAGTCTTGCCCCCAAAAGGTGTGGCACACACCAAGACCGCACCCACTTCCTTCCTTCTCTCTCTGCTCTTCCTTTCCCGACCCTTCCCTGGGTGTATATATATATGTATTTTCCCCTCCCCCTGAGACAGAGTCTCACTACGTCGCCCTGGGGTAGAGTGGCGTGGCGTCACAGCTCACGCAACCTCTAACTCTTAAGTTTCAGTGATTCTCTTGCCTCAGCCTTCGAAGTAGCTGGGACTGTTGGCGCTCGCCACAATGCCTGGCTATTTATAGAGACCGGTCTGGCTCTGGCTCAGGCTGGTCTCGAACCTGTGAGCTTAGGCAGTACACCCGCCTCGGCCTCCTAGCCAGACTGCTAGGATTACAGGTGTGAGCCACCGCGCCCGACCCTTTTTGTTTATTTGTTTTTCTTGAGGAAAAGTGATCTACCCTACAGTGAACAACCCATAAAAGTTTAGGTGAATCAGCTGTGCTGTTAGATTTGTTATCATCTTAAGGTTTTGGTTATTAGTGGATCTGAACACAATACATTAGAGGTGCGTGTTTACCTAAAACCGTGAAAAGTTCAGAGGATAGATTGGACACAGAATAAGCATCTAGAGAAGCAAATTACTGAAGTTTCATTGTTTTCTAAACAGCTCTTCAGAATGGAATGAGACAGCCTTTTCACTGGTCAATTTTCAGTCTCAAATGTGTTGTGGACAGCTGTCCACCAGGTGGAGGGCAAGAGTCTACCACCTGCTCTATTTAGGATGGGAACTTTGATTTTAAACTAGCCATCTGCAGACCTAAACCTTATCCATAGTTTAAGTTTCTTAATACCCTATGTCTAAAACTTCTCAGATAAAAAACATTATGGTCTAGGGCTAATTGAAGTCACTGGACATTTTGGAATTCTAATCTCTTTACATTAAAATTATTGAGAAAATTTGTGACAACACCTTTTATGGCCAATATTTCATCAATAAACAACTTAAGATTATCCAGATTAGGGCAGATGGAGACCCTGAACATTAACCAGAGCTGGAGTCTTAGGGCTGTTTTTTTTTTCACGATAAAGCTGTTCCTCAACACAATTCGCAGTAGGCAACAAAGGAGGCAAAGTAATGGAGGAAAAAGATTTGAATGGAGGAAAAGAATTTGAGGTCCAGTATGGATCCATTCTCTGCCACTTGCTAGGTGAGGTTAGGCTATAACTTCCTTTTGTTTTTAAATTTCAGATGAATATGAGGGTACAAACCCTTAGGTTATATAATTTACACATGAAAGGTTAAAATCAGAGTTGTAGCTGTGTCCTACACCCAGAGAGTATGTCACGTATCCACACATTGTAGCCATTGGGTGGGAAGGTACTGAACCCCCCACTTCTTGAATTTAATTGAGATTTTCTCTTGTATAGATCTGTGATTGTTAATCTCCTAGTTTCAAATTGGTATTGAGTACTTGTGATACTTGTTTTTCCAATCTCATAATAGGATAATGTTCTCCAAATCCATCCAAGTTGTTACAAAGGATACAAAATCATCTATTTTATGGCTGAACAGTACTCCATGGTATACACATACCACAGTTTATTAATCCATTCATGTGTTGATGGGTGCATGGGTTGTTTCCATCTTTATGATTGTTAATTGAGCTTAGATGTAACTTCCTTAAATCTCAGTTTCCTTATCTGTAAAGGAACTATAATAATTGTCTGTTCCCATCTTATCTGGCTCTTATGAGAACCAAATGAGAATGTGTTCTAATCTAAAGAACTAATTACTAGGCTCGGCGCCTGTGGCTCAAGTGGCTAAGGCACCAGCCACATACACCTAAGGTGGCAGGTTTGAATCCAGCTCGGGCCGCCAAAACAACAATGACAGCTGCAACCAAAAAATAGCCAGGCGTTGTGGCAGGCGCCTGTGGTCCCAGATACTTGGGAGGCTGAGGCAGGAGACTCGCTTAAGCCCAGGAGTTGGAGGTTGCTGTGAGCTGTGATGCCATAGCACTCTACCCAGGGGGATAGCTTGAAGCTCTGTCTCAAAAAAAAAAAAAAAGAATTAATTACTAATTTACAAAAATTACTATTAATTACAACAGTTACGAATGGGACTGTCATTTACTCACCTAAAGTTTTGGCTTACTGTGGTGGAGGAGTCAGTCATTTCTGTGGTTGGGGTTATAGTTCCAGAGTGACTATTAAATTGCAAATTTGTGTTAGAAACTGTTATTATTTTCAGAGAGATCAGTTTATACAATGAGCTAATTTGAAAAGAACAGGATCCTACAAAAAAAACAAAAGAGGCGAAGCATGGTGGCACATGTCTATAGTCCTAGCTGTTGTAGTCCCAGCTACCTGGGAGGCTGAGACAGGAGAATCGCTTGAGCCCAAGAATGTGAGGTTGCTGTGAGCTAGGCTGAGGTCATGACACTTTAGCCCTGGCAACAGAGTGAGACTTTGTCTAAAAAGAAAAAAAAGAGAGAGCTAAGTCTTATGAGTTTAATACTGTTCTGAGACCAAGACAAGTGGAAAATCCAAAAGGAAACCTGAGTAAGCTGCATTTTAGTACTGATAGCAGGAGGGCACTGAGCCTGGGGAAGAAGCACTACAAGGGCAGGCCAGAGTATGAAAGAGCCAGACTTAGCTTTCTTCACAGGTTGGGCTGGGTCTCCATCTTGGGTTTTTTGTTTCTTTGTTTGTTTGTTTGTTTGTTTGAGACAGAGCCTCAAGCTGTTACCCTGGGTAGAGTGCTTTGTCATCACAGCTCACAGCAACCTCCAACTACTGGGCTTAATCGATTCTCTTGCCTCAGCCTCCAAAGCAGCTGGGACTACAGGCGCCTGCCGCAATGCCCGGCTATTTTTTGGTTGCAGTTGTCATTGTTGTTTGGCAGGCCGGGCTGAATTTGAACCCTAGCCGCTTGAGCCAGAGGTGCTGAACCAAACCCACTGGGTTTTTTGGGGTTTTTTTTTTTTTTTTGGCAGTTTTTGGTAGGGCCAGGTTTGAACTCCCCACCTTCAGTATATAGGGCTGGTGCCCTACTCCTTTGAGCCACTGGCGCTGCCCTCCATCTTGATTTTTAAAGGCTAATTTTAGACAAGGTGGGTGGATTTGCCATCTATAAAATGCAGTAAATGCCCATGTTGTACCCACCACAAAGATTGATTAAATAACCAACTCTAAATCCTCGGTTTTGCCAAAATCAGACCACCTATCCCCATCCTCCCATGCCTTTTCCATCCCCCTTTCCCTGCCCTCCAGCACAGCCATTGTAGGTTTCTCTGCTCATACTGGGCTCTGATGTATGTTCCTTGAATCTAGCCTTAGTTGGAGATGTCAGTTCACAGATCCTGTTATGTGGCTGATGATAACATGGGTAAAACACTACTCTATAATTAACCGTTTAAAAATTTCACTGAATATCCTAAAGGGGTAAGCTTCTGTTTTTTAGCACATGTTGTCCATTTATTAAATCCTAGTCACTGACTGTCAATTCAGTAGTGAAGAGACATAGCTCATACCCTCACAGAGCTTTCAGTGTGGTGGGGAAGGCAAATAGAAACTGACCAGTCAGGCCAAGTGTGGTGGCTCACGCCTGTAATCCCAGAACTCTGGAAGGCTGAGGCAGGTGGATTGCCTGAGCTCATAACTTTGAGACCAGCCTGAACCAGAGTGAGACCTCACCTCATCTCTAAAAAAAGTAGCCTGGCACTGTGGCAGGCACCTATAGTCCCAGCTACCTGGGAGGCTGAGGCAAGAGAATCACTTGAGCCTGAGAGTTTGAGGTTGCTG